ATTTAGGAGACAAATTTTTTATTTTTTATAATTAGGAAAATAAATATGAAATGGGTCCTTGAAGCAGATTACACTATACAAACGCAACTAGTCATCATTTTCATGATTAGACCAGCGGATGGCGGTTGGATCTAGAACAGGTGGCAGGGGAAGGACAGAATAAAATAATGATAATCGTATGATTATTATTATTTTATTCTCATATCAATGAAATATAATAAATACCAAATGATATACATACAATGTAAATACATTAATGATGATATACCTAAATATTTAGAAATGTAGGTAGTAAAGTAAAGTAACGGCCTGTATATTATGTCCCACAGATAGGCCTTCTCCATACAGAGGGTATTAGGCCGTAGTCATCCACGCGGCTCCACTACGGATTGGCGGACTTCACAGGTCTTCGAAATATTTTTTTTCATGTTATTATTTTGAATATACGCCGGTTTCCTCACGATGTTCTCCTCAACCACTAAGCTCGTGATAAGTTAGCACATACAATACACCTGTTCAATGTTCTGCTGGCACCGGGGATCGAACTCAGGTTGATCGAGTATATAGAATTAAAAGCGAGCGCCCAGACAAAGAGTTATCACGGTTCTATTTTGTATTTTTTCTTTATATATCCAGAATTAGAAGCTAACCTCTTAATTGTGCAAAATATATATTTAAAACTTTTAACTATCTACACGTCTATATTAATTATATACACATATAAATAATCAAGTTTAAGTATATAACAGTTTTTATTCATGAAACTACTGTAAATATACTCTTAACAAAAGTTATTATTATTATTTTTAGTGACTTTTGTGTGTCGTCTACCATACCCAACTTATAACAGTACATCATAACATGTACTTATATATATACTTTTCAATAGAAAGTTCATTGAAAAAACAGAAAAGTACTGTTCTTATCTATCAATTATTATTAAGAAAGCTTGTGAAAGTGATGTCTATAATTGTATACAAAAATTAAAATATAACATATGAAAATTCTCTGTCACAGTGTTCGTACGCGATGGACTTGAAAGTAATCTATCGACTATAATTTGTTTTTTTTTTTTTCATTTTTCTTGGATTTCGACCTAGGGCTTCGAGAGGAACTAGTTAAATAATAGGACTGGCTGCTTCTTGTTGTATTAACTGATGTTTTGCTTTGCTTTCAGTCCCGAGACTATTAAAGCTTCATCTGACTGGCTGCCGTGTGTGGGCTGTGTGTATCGAAAGAGAAGCATCGTCCGATATATAAGTGAGTGATTTAAGGGATACAGGATGAATGAGTTGAGAGAGTTGAGTGCGATTCAAGATATTTTTAATTCTTTTTCAGTAATATTTGCCATAAAGTCATCAGCCGTTTAGCTTAGTTGGTAATAATTATTAGAGTTTAAAATAATAAAAACATTTTTGAGCCTCAGTGACGTGTCACTAGCCCGGTCAGCTAGTCACTATAAATAGTCAAACCTAAGTCTTTTCGATAAGACGCCTAAACCACAGGTCTAGACGCTTTAGCCCACTAAGCTGATATTTGTGCTTATTTTTTATTTTTAATGTTGCTCTACACTCACCTTTAAATTTAAATGTGAATTTAATACACAAAATTATAAAAATAATATCGGTTCTTCCAGGATTCAAACCTTTATCTTCTTGCTTAAGAATCGAAACAACAATTAAAGCTAACTGAAAATAAATAAAGACTATATTAGGGTGTTATCAGACCAATTGATCGTTCGTCGATCGAAGTTGATCAACTGGTCTGGTAGCTTTAATTCGATGGATACCGTTCCACCATCGTTCGATGCCGTCGGTCGACCATCGATCGATTGGTCTAAATGAATAAAATGAATGAATGAATGAATAAAAGAAAGAAATGTATGGTAGAAACTATCGACTAATCCATTCCACCATCGATCGATTGATTGGTCTGGTAACGCTCTTATATTGTCTTTCTTGTTAATGACATTTTATACTATAGTTATGCTTACAAAATCACCGATTTAAATGTGTTGCAGAGAGACAGTAAGCATTCACACGTTGCGTCCATCATAATTTTCTCACATAATATGTCGAATGGTATAAGTATAGCGTAATTAAAGCTATAACAAAAAAACGATTAAGTGCGAATCGAACGCGGAGGGTTCCGTACCTACCAATTATACCGCCATAATAAAATTAATAAATAATCACCACCGATTTTCTCTGGAACGGATGGATCTAGCATGTTGAACCAAATACTGAGGTCTATAGTGTCTATTATGCGTATAAAAGTCAACACGATAAAAATTAATTAATTGTTTAATATTGGGCAAATTTAGACTTTTGCGAAAACTTGTAAGTACCAAAATTTGCCTTAATTTTCAATTGTTTTATTTTGCGGAATTTTTCCTTTATTTGTGCTGTAAGACCTTTCTTTTTGCTTTAGTTAGAGATCGATGGTGAAAACGGGCATTAGTTAGGCAAATTGGTTTCATTGCACGTTTGACATAGACTTAACAAATTTTCGAAACAGTACGTGCAAGCCTTGCTCTTATTTTAACTATCTTGGTCCAAAACGACTTGGAATTCAAACGAATCCAAAACGAATTGGCGGAATCGAACGAGATGTCATAAATAACATAAATGCAGGCTGGGTGAAATGTGTCCCCATTTAAAATATTATTAAAATATTCTAATAAGTCGAATATATATTGCATTATTTGTAAATTATTTGAGCACCCCTGTATTTTATTTTACTTCAGAGTCTTACTTGATGACCTATAAAAGACACTAGATGGCATTTTTATTATTGTAAAATTTATAACACCATGTCTTCCTCGCCTAATCCTTACTAATATTATAAAGGCGAAAGTTTATATGTATGGATGGATGTTTATTACTCTTTCACGCAAAAACTACTGAAAGGATTTTAATGAAACTTTACAATAATATAGCTTATACATCATAATAAGACATAGGCTATAATTTATATGCATCTTTTTATGTATATCTGTTTTTCAGTCTAAATGTTACGCCATCACCCTATTCTATGCAGACGTAGTCGCGGGCCGCAACTAGTGTGAAATGATGGGAGTTTTCGTGGCTTAGATGCGTTAACAACATGAATGCTACTTTAAGCGAATTAGGATAATTTTTTCCCATTGATAAAAATCTAATCAGTAATATTTTTATTTATTCAAATAAACATTATAAATTAATTGTAAACAAAAGATAAAGTATTATTAATTGTAAACCTCTCTCCATTAATTTTTTTTAATTTTTTACTATTTATAAATACCAAAAGAAATTCAAATAATAAGAAAAATGTATTAATATAAATGAATGTATTTATCACACCATTATTGTTTGAATTATTTTGTTGTTCATGAAATGTAAATTCTTCTATTTATCATCATCATCATCATCATCATCAGCCGCAAGACGTCCACTGTTGAACATAGACCTACCCCTTAGAACGCTACAAAGACAGACACTTTGCCATTTACATCCACCGGTTGCCCGCTTCTCTTATACAGACTCTTATGCCGACTCTTGCAGGTCCGGAGAGCTATGTCGGCAACTCCGGTTCTTTGGCGAATGGTTCTTCCACTTTGTCTACCCTGGACAAACGGTCCAGTTAGGCAGGTCCAACTTCGACAAAAAGGTCACTCGAAGAATCCAACTCGGATGGGCAGCGTTCCGGCAGCTACGCGATATCTTTTCGTCCGAGATTCGGCAGTGCCTGAAGACAAGAGTTTATAACCAGTGTGTGTTGCGACCGATGACATATGTCACTGAGACGTGGTATCTAAAAGTTGGCCTTTTGGGGAAGCTCGGAGTCACACAACGCGCTACGGATAGAGCTATGCTCGTACAAAATCCGGAATGAAGAACGCACAAACACTGTACGCAAATCTAATTATATGTGAAATTCATCGAAATGTTTTCTTTTGTCATGGAAATGGTCTGGTATTTCTTTTTAAGATGTTACACTTCTATAATAAAGACGTTATTACCGTTTCAAATTTAGGGAAAAAAAATAAGTAGTTTGAATTTCCCGCTAAAACTAGGAACGTTTATTTTGACACAGATTTTTTGCGATAACATTGCTCTACCCTTGGAATAAGTTTATATGTTTCTAAAAATATATAACGTATGCCGACCAATGATATTATATACAAATTATTAAACATCATTGATGCCAACAATGCCTACATACGTGATACGAATGCAATATGCAAAGAGAATGTAATCACTACGTTTGGCAATATGAATCATCCATCGATGAAGATATATAAAGCGTATTCGTCGTAAAGACATTGAATCGCGTCAGCCAATATTTAATTAAATTAGTTTAATGAGTTATTTGAGGTGAAACATATACTACAATTCATAAGTACTTTATTTATGATTTATTTTAGTATAGTTAAAAATGAACGGTAAAATTAATTACAATTTTCTTGGTGAATAAAAAGCATTTGAAATATTATACATCGTTGAAATCACAGCATCTGAAAGATAATATTAATTTTAATTAATTTACGCAACACAGCAACACAGTATCTGTCATTATTCCACATTATATTGCCATCTCAAGTATATTTTGACATATAATAGGAAAAATGAGATAAACATAGGTTTGAAACTATTTAAAAGATAAAACTAACTTCAAAGCTTCGGCTTCCTAGTAAAATTTGGTTATACACACACTTTTTTGACGTATGATATACAGACTACAGACAGGTGTACGACTTTAGTTGAAAATCTCATTGGATGTAATAGTGCACACCAGTTATAGCGGCATGTTTATGCATAATGCTAAATTACCAAATAGCCATTCCAATTACTTCAGAACATGTTAGATATGGTATCATCAATTATATCAGTAGTAATATTATACTTAAGTGATCCCTATAATTGTGCCTATGACGTGATAATATAGTGCAACGATTTCATGAATCCTAATCAAAACACGCAGTTTTTAAAATTTCACGTACGATACATAGCACAAAAATTATGGCAGGACTAACACTTCCAGAAAGAGTAGCTCAAATATATTATACTTATGGCTTGTTCTGTTCATCCTATCCAGTTACGGCGATAACGATCGCACTATCTGTTGTTTTACTGTGTTGGTAAGTAGCAGCTAGTATATTTTTGGAAATTAAGTTAATAATTGTGGCGAGTCATATTTATCTGTATTTTGTTTATTTACAGCTTTCCTTTATTGAATGTACCTTTGCCAGGCAACATTCCAACTGTTGTAAATGTACCGTTACAATCTAATGTTCAAAATCAAAATGATTGTGTTAATAAAAATTGTCTCCATATGGGTAAGAATAAAATTTTATTTTATTTCATCATCTTTTTGTTAGTCAGTTAATATTTTATTCATTTACTATTACCATTGTCAAATCAGTTTCACTTTTAATTTCTGGATTCCCAATCTTTGAAAAATTTCAGACCTGTTGAAAATGAAAAATATACACAATGAAACACAAAAACTGCCATATATTTGGGTTAAAGACAAACCAATATTTTATGTGCATCAAATCATCATGAAAATAGGTAGGTTAATTTTTTTTTAATTGGTTCTAAGAAGTCTTCTTATTCATGAAATTTCTATACTTATAATGGCAAAATTTTCTTATATCATTATTTTAGGCGTTTCCCCATGGACCAGTAATTTAAGGATGTGGGATGCATTTAGGGGACCTTTACATGAAATATTCCGATTACTAGAAACAATTCGTAATCATGAAGAGCTTGAAAGGTACATATCTGTAATGTTGTGTAACTGTAGCATAATATGTTTCACATTGAGTGTATTCCATTTCTTAATTCGGAGTACAATAACTTATTAGCATTGCGATACATATATAATTATTTAATAATATTTGGAGTACTGTAAAAATGCTTTGCGAATTCATATTTAAAATGGCTATTGCTAATATGTTATGTATTTAAAAGACTGTTTATCTACAAAGAATATAAAAGGCTGTTTTGTTTGGAGTTATCAATTAAATCAACTCCTATTACCATTTGTTTACAATTGTCCATTCTTTAAATAAACAAACTCCAAAACAACAGTATATGGTGCTTGATTTTGTTTTATTATCAATTTTTAAAGCCATAACAATCCTTATATCACAATAGTGTACATTTTTATTATTATTTATATCCTGCAAAATATGATATACTTTAATTATTTCACAGCAAGGATACACTTTTGCAACATTGCTACCAAATTGAAGGCATTAAGCGACATGATAGCAGAGCAAGTATGGAGACTGTATTACCAGAATACAATTGCCTTTTGCTCTCTCCTGCAAATTTGTGGCAACAGAACTTACAATCCTTCTCACTGGATGCTAACATTGTCAATACAATATACAATTACCAGGTGTGTGTAAAAAACAATATTTTATGACAAATTGTGCTTTTCATCTAAAAATATGGTACTACAATATTACAATACTATATAATTTTATTTTGTGTACAGTAAAGAATAAAAAAAAGGATCAAGTACATTTTAACATTTGCCACTAATTCCAATTTATTTAATTAAACTGTCATCGATTGCATGTAATACTTTTTCGCAAACAAAGAGTACTGGCACAAAGAACAAAATTATTAGTTAGTTTTCTTTTGTTACACTAAAGAAGTATAACTTCTTACATGCATACATTAGTACACAAATACATTTCGTTTTTGGTAGCTCATTTCTGGTTTAATCTTGTAATATAATGATATTAAAATAGTCTCTGTAATAATAAGGCAATTTAGCAAACTGTTTTTTTTATTATTATTTATACATAATCACACTCAGAGACTTCAAATATAAAATAGTTTAGTATGGTGCATGTAATAAGTGCAACAAAGATAAAAAAAAATAATTTTATCTAAATTTATAGCAATTCTAGGTAATGGCAAAATCTAGGTAATGGCCCTCTGCCCTGTACAGATATATATATATATAGGTCCCATTGTACTTCACTGAAGGACCACAAACATATCTTCGAAATGTTTTTAAATATTTCTTAGGTATGCAGGTCTTCTCACAATGATTTCTTCCAATACTATCAAGTATCTAGTTATCAAAGGTAAATCACCACTCAAAATTGTGTTCACTGTCAAAGACTATAGATTTTCCAATATTTTCTAAATTTATTATAATTAGCCCTTGGACAATAATTTAAACTAGATAAAGTAGACTCTGAAGCTTTGCAAATGACTTCAACATTTTCATGCAGAGTCTTCAAAAAGGCAAAGCGTCTATAGCTGAGATGGCATTTGGTATGCACCTCCGTGACACCGGCATCAAACGGTATCCACTAAGGGCGCGCCCCCGTGTACTCCAGTACGCAGTGACAATTTTTTATCAAGATGCTGATGAACGGTAAATATTCTATACTGTAGCACCAAATCTTACTCTTTATTGGTTTAGACTATGATAATACATTTATAATGATAGATTAAAGTAAATGCTGTTTATGACTTCGGGCTTTCTCACCGGTATTCTCTTGTTTGGTCTAATTTGGTGAACCCCTGGTAGTTCTTTCACTTTCAATGAGAGCTTATTTATTATTTATAATAATTATTTATTTTACATGAAGGGTAAAATAAATACATGAATACAGTAAAGTGAGTGAAGTAAAGGATTATCTTAAATCGGGTTGCATTATCTAGTGGTATCAGTTATGGGCTTAGTATAGTCAGTCATGTTCTATTATTTGCTCAACCTTAACCTTCAAAAGCTTTTTTATTCCAGATTCATCAACTCCCTTACGAACAAACTCAGGACATTGTACCCATTGTATCAAGACACGCCCCAGATGCGAGCAGATGAAATAACGCTCATCTATTATCCGGGACAATTCAATTATCACGAGCTGGTACCTCTGCTGATCACGTTTTTCGGATTGTTCCTGTACGTATACTTCTCCGTGAGGAAGATAGAGTTCATCCGTTCAAAGTTCGGTCTCGCCGCGTGCGCTGTCGTCACTATAGCTGGTAGCCTGTCCATGTCCATGGGCATTTGCTTTTATTTCGGCTTCTCTCTCAGTCTCCAGGGCAAGGAAATATTCCCCTATTTGGTGATAATCGTCGGCCTGGAAAACATCCTGGTCCTCACGAAGAGCGTGACCTCGACGGACACCAGGCTCGATGTCAAGATCCGGCTCGCTCAGGGTCTGAGCAAAGAGGGCTGGTCGATCACTAAGAATCTGCTCACTGAAATTACAATCCTGACAGTTAGCTTCTTCACATTCGTGCCGTTCATACAGGAGTTCTCCATATTCATGATCGTCAGCCTGATATCTGATTATTTCATACAAATGGTGTTCTTCGCCACAATCCTCGGCATCGATGTGCGCCGCCTGGAATTCTTCCCCGAGAGGAACAGCAAGCTGCACCTGAAGGAGTACTTTAGCGCGAGCAACGCTCTGAACTGGCGGTATAACAGGGGCCAAGCGGAGGAGAGCTCCTCGCCGCAGAGGATGACCAAGTCGAAGTCGCACCCCAGGCTGAACGGGCTGACTAGCAGCAGTCCCACTGACGTCGTGGCCAAGAGGAACTCTGGCGCTGGCGGCCAGGATCACAGGGTCCCTAAGCGGATACGTTTGGTGAACATGTGGGCTCGGACGCGCTTCTTCCAGAGGGCCTTCATGGTTTGGATGCTGGTGTGGATATCGATGATAGTTTATAACTCCGGCATCGTCGACTATTTCGTGACGACCGTCGAGAAGGAGAACGAGGAGAGCGCCAGACACGATTACGAGAGGAACAGAGCGAGACAGGCGTCCATCATGACGTACAACACCAGCGAACGGCGACCCCTCGTTTTCTCTACCATGATAGACACGGAGGTGTCCAGCAAAGCGGTCGACGGCAACGACACGATATTCCTGAAGCACTCCCCCCACTCTCGTCCCTGGTCCAGGTCAGCAAGTCTCCTATTAATTACCATGCTAATGCCCACATAGCTGCTTAGTATGTCTTTAAAACAAGCAATATAATATATATTGCATAGCAAGTAATAGATTATGCAAAAAAGGCCTTCATTAGTCAATGACATCATACCACTTGTTACGCTATAACAGATATAGAATATAAAGGAATGGTAGGACTAATTAAATAAGAAATTATTATAATTGTAGCTATAGTTATGAAGTTCTATTAAAAAGATCTCGAATCATTATCTCAAGACTGAATCACCATTCTTCTGATCATAATATCGATAAAATTCATATTTTAAGTAAATATAATATCCGTATAGATGCTTCGTTATGAATTAAATTAAACTAACCTAAAAAACTAAATTTCATCACAGACCGCTGTCACTTTCAATTTTAACATTTTACAGCGACGGTGGAGTGCATGTTGTTCATAAGTTTGTACTAGAGTTATTTGGCGTTTAATTATCATCGAATTATTTTCGTTGAGATTGTATTCGATCATAACATTATAGTTTACGTCCTACATAAGCTTCTAAATATAGTAACTGCGCAGTTATTATCGGGTCATTAGCGTTGAAGGCTACGCTGCCTATCATTCTCGCCTTACTGTTGCCGACGCGCTCGAAGTGCAAGGAAGCAATGATAAATCACACGATTATATCACACGACTCGCTACGACGTCGGCCTTCATACCTTTCGGGTATAAGATACCAAACACGCTGTGCATATACGTCTGCGTACACCGCTTTGCCAATTTTCTATTATCTTTAGCCGCTTCGTACGAAACGCGTCAGTGTTAACGAGTCGAAGCCACTTTGATATTGTCCAAATTTTTAGCACTTTAGTATGAATCATAGCTGTCTGTGGGAAGTCTTGCCAATCGATTGCATAATACAACGCCTCCATTGTATTCGAAATGCCTTAAACGATAACACGCGAATAAAACACAAAAGCATTTGTACTCGCGCAAATCGTCTTTAGTGAGGTAACCGGAGGCAACTACTCTGTTGGTGCGGGGCCTCCATGGGCAGTATTTATCATCAGGGAACCCACTTCCGTAGTAGACATTCCTCTGAATTGAATGAAAAAAGGTAAAGTTAGTTTTACGTATTGTCATTGATAAAATAAAAGTTTTGCCAAAGATATTAGCTCAATTATTTGGCCATTAAATTCACACTCATCGACTCCACTGAAAGGCTTTCTTTAGCGCTTAACATGCATGCTTAAGTCACTAAAATTCAATTTGTTAATACACTGGTAATGACTGAGTTGTTCTTTTAGTAGTTTTTCAATTCTACCTATTAAAACCATGCTCAAACGTCAGTCTGTCACTATGGCCTCATCTCAATAAATACAACAATGGAAAACAACTAGTCAACTGTCAAAAATACACATCATGTAGAACTTTAAAACCTCGTCACGTCTTAAAATACCATTAGGCTAATGTTTTTCTCTCATTTGTCTTGACATTTGCTCTATCTTATACACGGTACCGCATTAAGCCAGGCGTATTTTTCGCAGCTTTGGACTTGTTTAAATCCTTAATCGAACGCTTCGTGATCAGAATTGCGTAAGGGTGACGTTTCGCGCTTAGCTCTGACTGATTTGTCACTCCAGGCTTCTTATTTTATATATCATCGATATTTTCAGCCGATGATATATTTGGATCCGATATATCGAGATATCGTTACAAAATATTCAGTATCGAAAATCGTATCAAAATGACATTTTTTCAATTTCGAATCCGGCACAGAGTCCGCAGGTGTCAAATATTCAATACTTGCATACCTTGTTTCGTGGACGACCGGGGTTGCCATCGCTATTTTCTCTTCGATATATTGAGGGCGATGTCGATGCTTTAATGAATATCGATATTTTTCTTCCCGCTCGGCTCGTCAGGCTGTCGCCGTCGCACTGGTCGGCGGTTCTGGCGCAGTACAACGAGTCGGTGGCGGGGAGATACGCACTGATCCTGCCGCCGACGCTGCTCAGCCACCGCGTCAGCCCCGACCTGGCCGCGGGGCTCCGCAACCCCGACGAGCGGGAGCCGCCGCCCCTGCGCTGGCAGGCGCTCGCGGCCGCCTTGGACCCCATCGACATATTGCCCGGTGAGACAATACGCCGCTGTTTTCCCCTCCCGCACGGGGTATTTGATGTGAGTTCTTCTCTTTGAAGAACAAATCTTCAGTTCTTCTAACTAATCTTCAGTTCTTCAGTTCTATTGAATAATCTTTTGATTGGATATAGGGCCGTGATAGCTCTGTGTCCGGGCGCTCGTCTTTAATTCAATATACTCGAGCAATCTGAGTTCGATCCGATCGTAAATGAAGTTTTTAACTTTAAGTGCTGACTTATCACGTGCTCCGCGGTGAAGGAAAACATCGTGAGGAAGCCTGGATATTTTCGAAATAATAACAAAAAATATGTATTTCGAAGATATATGAAGTCCTCCAAGCCGCAGTGGGGCCGCGTGGTGGACTGTTCCCTGATACCCTCTGTTTAGATGCATGTATGCTGATACTTTACTGATCAATTTGGGTGTTTAATATGAATTCCCATTATTATTAGTACAAAGAATCCGGTTTAAAGTTAAGGCACAAAAAATCTTATAGTTTCATGTTAGCGCTTTTTTGCGGTGCCATTATACTTAGTGATTGTCGCGAATTAAATTTTGCGTGACTTTGTTTCATTATTTGTTTACTAAAGTAATTCCCTAGTCGTAACGTAAAACAAGTACTTTGTATTGTTTTTTTATCTGTTACGTTTAACGAGTGGAGATTCGCGAGATATTGGAATTGTATTGTTTCATAGTTCTAATACAAGCTGTATTTTAAATGTCTCTCGCCTTTAATTGTTAAGCCAGCACGACGAAAACGTAAACTTTGCGAATCTGTCATTTTTTGAAAGATGAAAGAGAGAACATGTTAGTTTCGATGAAGAATATTGAAAAAAGACTTTACACCCGTAAATGTTAAATTTTATTTTGACTGCAGGACAACTTTTAAAAATTCACTGATATTTTTGTAACTTTTCCAGAGTTCGAGTTAATCGATGGCAAGGGCCAAGCGCATCAATGGGGAAAAGCCGCCGATTTGCCCATTTATCCGACCACGCCCATGGAGATTTTGTTGTTGGCAATACTGTGTACGATAAGCGTTGCTGTAATTGCGTACATGATGGTGGTCCTTTACAGGTAGAAATTAATTAAAATTTGCACAAAAAAGTACGAAAACTTACTCGCCGCTGTGGGAATCGAACCCACGGGACACACTTCGGGTTTCTCGTCCAGACTCTTTAAACCGACGAAAACCTCAACATCTTTTATCTATGTTGATTTTTTTCGCATCTCAAGCAATGCTAGTCGCATCCCAATGGATCCCTTTACAGCATAGGTACAATTTCGGATATCGTTATAAAGCGATAATTCAAGTGTCTCCATGTCGCCATTGCTATTAGAAATTTAAATTTTATAGTGCTAATTTCTACACAAGATGATACATTAAAATTTGTATAAAACTTTTCGTACTTTTTTCTACAAATGCATCATCTAAAGTACAGAGAATAGCACAAAAAAATTTAAATAGATAAAAATTAAAATAAAGTATCAGCGAATATAGGAATGAATGAATGAACAAGTCGCACATGATGAGAAAAGTACGAGTAAAGGAGTTTGTAAGGTAGATAGCGAAAATGATTTATAATAATATTTTTAGCTAAAATGGATCGATCTCGTTGAATTTTATTTTTGCACGTTCACAGATGCGTCTGTTCGCGACACTACGCGGAATGGAGAGCCTCTTGGAACGAAGACGAGGAGTACAGGAAGATCATCGCGAAACAACCGGCCGTTCAGGTAGTCAAGCCAAATGGCTTTATTCTTAGTCGTCAGATAGCCTTGTCTGCGAGATATGCCAAAAATGTATTTTCTAATCTTTGCTATTACGTATCTACGATAAAACAATAATGACCGATAAAATGTCCCAAAATATACTTAAAGAAATATACTTTTTTACCCGTTCATCAAATTAATCATGTTTTAAATATCTTTTTTCATTATAACTTTTACCTTCACTTTATAACATGTATGTTCGTTACAAATGTTCTAATAAAATACATATATGTTTTTATAGTACTAATCTCTGCGCTTAGATAATATATAAAAATTTGTAGAAAAAAATAGACTGAAAGATCGAGCCTAAGTCTTGCGGACCTGCGCTCAGCTCAGTGGATAAAAAGTTTGGACGCGATTCTGGAAGACGCGGGTTCGATTCCGGCAGTGGCGATAACTTCGTCCATTTTGCCTACCAATTTTTATATACCCATGCATTTTGTTGCCTAAAGTTTTCTTGGATATTCAGCTGGTGATGGAAGCGGTGCCTCTGGTGGTCGCCGGCCACAGCCAAGAGGTGGAGTGCCTGGTGACGGACGGCGACACGGTGGTCAGCTCGTGCCTACAGGGCAACATCAGGGTGTGGGACTCGCACAACGGCGAGCTTGTCACCAACATCGATCGCAATGCGTGCGTATTGTCGAGTTTGGTGCCACCCGACTGGCGTGGTGGATACCGGGCCTGTCTCCTGCGCCAGAGGCTGTGGGTTCGATCCCCACTACTGGAAAGTTATTGTGTGGTGTATCCTTTTCCAGTGTATGGGGGTTTATAAATCTATAATATGTATTTATTTACAAAAGAAAAGTATGTTTAAGTATGTTTATCAGTTACCTAGTATCCATAGTACAAGCCCTGCTTAGTTTGAGACAACTTTGATTGAGACTTAGGTAACGTTGTTTAATAATATGTCCTGAAAAAAATATATTTTAAACGCAAGCATTGTCGCTGAGCCAAATGGGCAATGGATAATTGTTTGTGCTGAGAATCTGGGCTTCCTTAAACCAAACCAAGGCCTGCACAAAACCTTTAATGCAATTGGTGTAGACTTTGATAATCCTTGATAAAACCGTGAATTTTATGCGGTGTTAGGGCCACGCAACAGTTTCGGATGTTGCACGAATGGCCAGTGCCGTCCGGGTAAGTACTATGATCTCACAGGAGACCGGTGTGAAGTGGAAATGTTATATTTCTGTGTTTCGTCTGGCCAGTAAGGTAGGCGGGGCCCACCCTATTAAAGGGTGGCAACACATCTGCAATCCCACGCGTGTTGCAGATGCCCATGGGCGGCGGTTATCACTTAACATCAGGTGAAGTGCCGGCTTGCTTACCACCTTATTATTTAAAAAAACTTCTCAGTCCTCATATTTGCACGACTCCGTTTTCTGGTTTGTCCAGTAGTTAGAGTAAGAATTAAGCTTTTGTTATACAAGTTAATGGGATTTGCTCATATCGCCCACCAAATTATTGATTTCAAGTCGAAAAATAATGGCATATTGATAGTAATGAAACAATTATTTACTTCAAGTAAAAAAATTAAATTTATATTTTGTTAATTTACTTCTAGTAAAAAACGAAAAACTGATAGTAAATCGTAATGTTCAATAGGCAATTTGTTAAACAGATATACGTTTAACTAATGGCGTATTCATTGAATGTTATTTGTTATTTTTGTATAGGAACAGTTGCTGTATTTTTTTCGACCTGCTTCTAATTCATATTTTATTCTATTTTGCCACTACACAGTGGTACCTTTTATGTTACATGTTACGTTATCCGTTGTTACAGGTTTTTTAAACTGCAGAAAGAACTACACGAGAAGATGAGCTCAAGGAAATTGTCCGTCGATGACGATTCGTGCAAAACTGTTGAAGGTTCTGTTGATATATATTTGATTTTTTCCTTTTCATCATTTTCGATGTGCCTACTGACCGTTTGTTTTGTTTTTCAGCCCTCCCCACTCCGGAAGTAACGGAGCCACGTGCGGTATGTCCTAGTTGTTTTTCTCCAACATTGTTTCTTTTAGTCGACATTGACCTTATGATCACGGTCAATAACGTAACTAAAGCGTGTAAAATGTAATATTTGTAACTGTGAAGAATTACTATATAAGGTACAATACAACTCTGCTGCCTGCAATGGGTCGGCCATATAGCTCGAGGAACCTATAGCCGTTGGGAAAGAAAAGTTCTAGAGTGGTAGCCTCGTATTTGGCCATCGTTGAGTAGGACGAAGATAGACTACCCCCATTAGATTGGATAGAAGTCGAATAGCTATGCTCTCCGAGCCACCTGCATCCGTCTCTGGACATAGGTCCAGCAGTGGACTATAACAGGCTGAAATGATATATATGGTTTTGGATATAATTTTTACAACCGGCAGCTTGCCTGACTTCAACCCTCCTTGGGAATCAAACACCCACCAAGATGAGAACTTAGTTGGTTGATGTTAAATATAAAAAGTAAGATAAAGTTTCAGCCTATAAATGTCCCACTGCTGGGCAAAGGCCTTCTCTGTACAGAAGCTATTAGGGCATTGTCCACCACGTGACCCCACTGCGGATAGGCAGAATTATAAATAATCGTGATGTTTTCCTTCACCGTTGAGCAAGTGCTAAGTTAGCACTTGGAATTAACAATTTATTTGGTGCCAGAACCGGGATTTGAACTAAGCTTCTTCCGGTATGTGGTTAAAAGCGTGAATGACACCGACACTGAACTATCTCGTTATGATGTTAAATTGTGTATTTTGTAATTTTCCAGACGGTGCACCGCCTTCAGAAAGGCTTGAGCAGCCATCTAAGCGGTCTCCGCTTTCGCGCCAACGCCCGAGACACGCTGCCGGAGATATCTCCCGCAGAAACGACCAGATACAATTTCGCCAAATGTTACAGGTAAACTGAAAAAAAAATATCATTACTAGTAGTCGCCAATCGGTCGATATTATACGGTAATTCATTGAATTTTAAATTATTTTTTGTCACAGATTCATTTGTCAATCTGATATTATAAAATGTAACAGATTATTACGCGTTTGACTTTGGTGTGATAAACGTGAACTGTGAATAGTTTCATTAATTTTATTGTCCTCGTTTGTACCATTTAACTTACATATTTGTACACATATTTTATCTTTCTGCCCTTCTCCCCTGTTCGGTAATTTTTCAAGGAAACTCAAAATTCGGGACTTCCAAATATTTGTATTGCCTCAATGACGAACAAAGGTGAACAAGGGGTGACATGCAATTTTACAAAACAGACCTTACAACTAATTAAAACTAATTACGCTATGCGTTTATTTGCTCATCGTCAACTAGCAGGCGTTGCGCTCGAACATCCCTATATAAACTGAAACAATGGTAAATTTCATACACCTCCGTGCTCTCAGAATTATTAAAGAGGAGTCGAATGTATCCGATTTACGTTTTAATACCTGAGACGCCAAGATGTTTAAGTTTTTTTTAAATCAATTATTATCTTTAATGATATTCAGTAATAGGATAGATGACCTTAGGATAATATCTTAAATAAATAAAAAAAAAAAAAAACTCGGGTTAGGATAATGTCAGAGCACGCCATCACACAAATTTTTGAGATACGAGAACATTAAGCTACTATAAAATTTTTTTTGCGGCTAAATTTACTGTCATATTCGAATGATATTTTCATTCCCTGAAAACAGAGATAAAAGGGCATTTTCTAAAAATGAAACCTAGCCAGATCGATTTTTCGCCCCCGAATCTACGCACATAGAAAATTTCATGAAAATCGCTGGAGCCGTTTCCGAGATTCATATTATGTATATAAACAAGAATTGCTCGTTTAAAGGATAAGATATAGCAAACGGATAACCTTTCATACGGCCTTGGGCTAAGGTTGTGTAAACAAAGTGGTGTGAGCTAATAGCTACTATTTTTCCGAACAAAACCAGAAAAATTTAGCAAATTAACAGCAATATCATTTATAAGAATATATTTTGTGTGAAAATCGATGAGCCGTTTCCGATTCTATGTAATAAACAGGAATTGCTAAAGGATAAGATATAGCAAACAAATTACGAAATGCAATTGTGTATAATAATATTTTTCCGATTTAGCAAATTACAGCAATATTTTATAAGAATATATTTTGTGTAGTGGCTTTATTTCTTCAATAATTATAATCATAGTTTTTAGTTTAAAGTCATAGGTTGATATATACTTTAAATATAAAAATGTATATATTATAAATATTTATATATAAATATACTTTAAAGTCGGGAGTTGTCACTGTCAGCAGATTAAAAAAGTAGCATGGGTACACCATTTTTTTTTGCTGTCTCCTTCAACTCACACAGAACTCTAGAATGCTGGAGCAATCTGTGTTTAAATCCCGGTGACCAATGAAATTGTTAATTTTATGTGCTGACTTATTGACTCTATTGCTCAGCGGTTCAAGAAAATGTCGTGAGGAACCTTAAAAAAATATCTCGAAAATATTTGAGGTCAATTCGTGTAGGGTCGCGTGGTGAACTATGCCTTAAAACGTATATAGAGGCCTTGGCCCAGCAGTGGGACATATTCAGGCGGTTACTTCACCTTTTTCCTATCTTCTCAGAGATCTCTACCACGTCGAGCGGCGGAACGGCGTCGAGAGGAAGGTAAACGGTGACGAGAACGCGGTAAACACGTGCAAAAGCGACTTAAGCCTCGAAGAGGACAAAGAGTGCAACGGCGGCGTATTCGTGTTCAGTTCGAGCGCGGAGAGTGCTAGTGTTTTAAGGGACAACCGTAATAATGGCAAAGTGGGCAGCAGGACTGACTGTGGCGACGAGGGCTCGGCGCCCCGGACGAGGGCGGTCAGTGAATCCCCAGTGTGGTGCATGGACTTTTGCGACGACCTCGTCATATTGGGCTGCGCCGACGGCCGGCTCGAGCTCTGGGAGGCCAGCACCGGGAAGCTGATGGTAATACCGTCGCATGCTGCATTTGTTGCTAGCCAAATCTTCCTTAGATAAGCGTGCCCACCCCCACTCCTGCCCCAAAGGATGGCAATGCAATTTTAATTACGCTGATGTGACAAGTGTTCACTTGCCATTAGGTGACAGGTGTTAATTATTGTATAATCATATTTAGTCTATACAATAATTTATCAATAATTTATTAGTACAGTTTGTTGTGATTTAATAAAAGATGATGGTTTGACACGTATTGCGTTGTGATATTTCCTGCGCCATAGAATGGGGGGGGGGGTGATTCGTAAGTTAGTATTTGTTTTTGAGGAATATAAAATTCGACTCTTACAACATACGCGAGTTAGTTCTTGGTTATTGTTATATAAGTTGAGGCTGTTGTTGCTCTGCTGGAAAATCGTAAGTGTTATTGTTATGCAATTGTTGATATATAGTTGTATAAATTGGTGAAAGGTAATAATAATAATAAATAATAATAAAATATCTTTATTCGCATAGACGCTTGCGCGTTCTTATGAAACGTAAAAATTTTACAAAGAAATTAACACGTTCGTAAGTTACCACCGGTCCGTAAAGCAGTTTCTGTTCAGAAGAAACCGGCAAGAAACTCAACAGTTGCTCTTTTTTAAATGATCAGTTTACAATACAATCGTACAGGTATAATAGTCTTGTTTTAGCCTACGTGTGTATCAACAGTGCTAACCCCACACATTGGCTCCGTCAAAATATTCCGCAACAGTATAATAATAGGCTTCAGCCATAAGTTTACTTTTAACTTATCGTTTAACTTCATCAAGCGGCAGACTTAATATCGACTGTGGGACTTTATAATGCATGCGCAAACTGCCCCATGAGCGGCCCGTTTACTTCTCGCAGACGAAATAAAACCGTTTAAAAACTTTAAAGTTAAACGGTTTTATTTTATGTGCACTGAAAACTACAATATTGTATTGTCATCTAAATTAAATGTGTGTACCAAATTTCAGATCAATCTGACAACGGGAAGGTGCTTAAATTTCAATTTCTAATTTTGACCCAAATAAATAAACAAATAAATTCCGTACGGGTCGAGCTAAATAAAACCGTTTAATAACAACGGCGCGGCTAGTGTTTGCTGCCCGCTCGCCAGCCGTTTCCACCGCCCGTCTCGTGTTCCAGTGCATGTGGCGGGGCGAGGGCCGCAGGGGGGGCGGCGGGGCGACGCACGTGCGCGCCCTCGCCGGCGGCGGCCGCGTGTGCGTCGCCACGCTCGGCGGCCACCTGACCCTGCTGCGGCTCGACGCGTACAGCGCCGCGTCGGGCGCCCACGTCGACTGGCGTTTCAGCACCGCGCACCGCCGGAGTGAGCGCGCTTGTTTTCTTTCTCCCTCTCTCCGGGGGCGCCCCGTACCGGAACGGTAATACGGGACCCCGCTGTCTGTCACCGGGCTGTGTCTCGTGGACCGTGACAGTTTCTCTTTATACTAATAGATTAGTTTACTTTCCCTACACATACCGTGATAGTACATAAGTACACGCACGCGTTTTAGAAGTGACACTTCTCGGCGCGTTTGGAAGAGATTGATACTAAAATTTCTTTTTAATGTTTGAAGTTAATATTTCTATAAGCACGTCGGGCAATTTCGGGACTGGGAAAATTTCAAATGCTGGCGTCACCGACATGCTTTTTGCCACTTGTTTTTTCATTGACTTTGGCCACTGGTTTCCTAATATTTGATCTATGTAAAAATAATATTTACTAACTAATGTATTCAATTGCTTTGCGTTTTAAAATCACTGGAATTTATTATTTATTGTTTATTGGCATAAATTGTCGGAAATTCAATAGGTCTTTCGCAAATTTAATATGTTATGTGATTTTTTTTCGGGAAAGTAGCAAACTAGCTGGCAGCTCACCTGATGTTAAATGACAACCGCCGCCGCCATGAACATTTGCAACACCCATAGGGTTGCAGATACGTTGCCACCTTTTAATAAAGTAGGCTGCCGCTACCACACACGCCAGACGAAAACCAGAAATATACCACTTCCACCTTTCGCCGGTCTACGGTCGTGGTACTTATCCGGATGGACCTGCCCATTCATGCAACAGCCTAGTCTGATGCGTGTCCCTACTGCAGTTGATTTTAATTATTCATGCATACAAAAATTCATTGAAAAATTATAATTCTCAATTTGCGTTGGCAGTCCCCATGACTGCTTATTTTTTTTTTATTAAAATGATTATGTAAATTCACAGGCTTGTGGATCCTGGCTAGCCCACGAGTTCTGCACTCGATGAAACTTTTATAATACTGACTAAAAACAATAAACATGGGTTAAAGTAAAAACTAAAGCCTTCTTATGTCCCATTGAGGGGCAAGGGCCTCCTTTGCACAGAGGTTAGTAGGGAATAAAGTTTGCCCTTCCGCGGAGTTTTATTACAGGAGTGCTCTGAAATAACGCGTCCGCTCTGCTCAATTGTTACCCAACGCTATAGCGCCTCACCTGGCGGTCGTTCTTATGTTGGCAAAATTATTACAGCGCATAAACGCACCGGCTCCGCGGATTCTATGCGCATCGGGAGCGGCTACGACGGCGAAGCGGCGAGGGCGCCCCGCACGAGCTTCTCCTACAAACCGGACTACCACGACGGCGAAGGTACGGTGCCGAATGAGCGACATTGCATTTAATGCCTTTACCCTAAAGAATTATAACTTCTGACATGAGGACATAAAAATACACACATACTTTGTTCTAATTTTTAGTGCTATCCGAGCTTATCTTCTCAGGTAGGTCTCTCTTTGACGGTGGTAGGGCCACGCAGCAGCCTCGGCTGTTGCACGAATGGGCAGGCCCGTCCGGGTACGTACCACGACCTCACAGAAGACCAGCGTAAAGTGGAAGTTTGACAAATACTTTCGCGTTTCGTCTGGTGAGTGAGGTAGCCGGAGCCTAATTTTCAAAAGGTTGTCAACGCATCTGTAACCCTCGAGTGTGGCAGATGTCCATGGGCGGCGGTATTCACTTAACATCAGGTGAACCGTCTGCTAGTTTGACAACTTTTCGCATAAAAAAAAGGTTAACACTATAAATAAAAAAATTATCCTAAATTTTAATAACAAAAGAAAAAACCTCTCGTATTCATTGTAAAATGTTCCTTGAAAGTGTTGGTGTACTGTAAATTACCTTACTAGGTGACTTTTCCCGTCGCGAGCCATAAGACGCCGGTTCACAACCGCCGCACCTAAAATTTTTCGTCGATTTATGAATTAACATTCACATTCAAATTTCGCCTTCAGTATAGATTAAAAACAAAATGTTTTTTTTTATATTTATTCGATTATACAATATATTTATTGTGTTGGTTTTCGTTTACCTCGCTCTGTGGATGGAACGCAAAAGTATAAATAGTCTAATTTCCCAACCGGTCTTCTGCGACTGTATTTTTCTTTAAACTATACAGAGGGCGCTGAGTGAATGTAAGCTGTTCCTCAGCAACAGTAACTAGTTTCGCTAAATAAATTACTGTATATCATACGAGCGGGCGTAATTTTTAAGTTCTGTTAAACTATTCCCTTTATACCACCGTACTTTGGTACAGAGGTGGTGTGCGTTCGCATAGCGCATTGCAGGCCTCACCAGCAACCCATCACGGAGATGCATTCGGAGGGTGGTCGAATACTCACCGGCGGACAGGACCACGTGGTTAAGGTAAGCGGTAAGAATTTCTTTTAGTTACACAAGTTGCGTGTGCTGAGCGGCGCAGAAGCGATTCTATGATGACAATACAATTTGTTTTTGAAAATAACCTTGCATGGATAGCAGACACGACAGCATCTGCTATCCTCGCCAACTTAAAATTATCTCATGTTGCTGTTTTTTTATTTAGCTATTATTGTTTTTTTTTTATTATTTCATCCTCCATTACCACACGAGAATAGACTCTTATTAGAAATAAAGAATATTAATTTCATGTATTCTATGAAATCATAACATATGAATATCGACACATGTGAATTTGCTTTGCTTTTTTCGTATGACATAGTGAATTTTACCTTTCGTGTCTTCATTCTTAGACTTGGCTTTTGTTTCCATCTCTAGGCGTCCAGTAATGCATGTCGCAAACCCCGAATAAAGCGGTACATTACGTTCTTGGGTTTAATGAGGTGGATGCGTCATCCGTGAAGCGAGGTCATGGGCAGCAAATATATATATGCAGCAATATATTTGCCCCCCTTTGCATTGATGGATTCGGCAGAAGACACTGTATCCTAACGAGCTACGTAAAGTCACCGGGGTCTCAGAGTCTCAGAAGGCCTAAAGTATTAATTGGCCTTTTCGGAAATGTCCCCTGTTGTAAATGCTTATGGTCGGCTGTATCACTTATCAGGTGGACCACTTCCCCCCTCGCTCAACCGTATCTAACCGTTCTGTTATACAAAGAGAAAGCTTAATATATATATATATATATATATATATATATATATATATATATATATATTCGCACTTTGCAACAAAAAAAAAACTAAAGTTTACAACCAAGCCACCCGTTGTACAACAATTGCGTCGAAACGTTTCAAAGGCCCCCAATCCGCAGGTGTTTTCCACCGACGAGCTGAAGCCACTGTTCACGCTGCACGGCCACTGCGGGCCCATCACCAGCTGCTTCATCGACCACGCCACGCCCACGATAGCGGGCAGCGGCTCCCAAGACGGACTTCTTTGCGTGTGGGACCTTCACACCGGTGGGTTCACCAGTAGGCTCATTGCGCCCACCTCATGCATCCACACTAACTACTAACCAACTTAACCACTAATTCTTCCTAGCGAAATAGACAACATACCCGATCTGGCAATGGTATTGACACGTTTGAAGTATAATCTCTCACAAACTAGGTTTTGGTTCAGAATGGCTATTTAAAATGATTTACGCTCTAACTTAACGTGAATTCTATCCATTTTCATATCATAAATGTGGTAGTAAATGGAAAAGTGATAAAACCGTAAACGTAGTTTTATTCAGTAATGAGTAATTGCGTATATGCAAGAAAACATTGTTGTAAATTGTAATCTACATGCGATTAAAATTTGTCTTATGAAACTCAGTACGAGTGTCCTCTGTTTATAATTTACTTTGCATTTAGCTTTAAAATTACGTTGTCTTACATTTGTGGTAAGTTCTTTTTCGAGTGCTTCTCATCGTCTCAGAGCCTCTGCAAATATATATACTGCAAAGCGTATGAAAAGCCGAAATTTCAAAGTTGAAATGCCGACAAACCCCAAACGCCAATTTATATTTTTTTTTTTAAATTCCACATCGAGACAGCAATAACGACTTTAGGACTATTTTCATGATGTCGCAAAAAGTCATGTATGTTTGTCTCATTTTTCTCCGTCCATTCACTCAATCGCCTCAAAAATTCAGATAATATCTGACAAACCTTCAACTTGAGAACATGCCTATTACTATATGATACAATTAGAAAGTTGACAGCTACATTATTTCGGTCGTGGAGAATGTCCTCGATTTCATACATAAAACGCATTAACGTACTGAATGTAAAAAAATATTAGAAGAATACTGCTATTGGTTAAAATAGACTTTTTCATATTTTGATCTTTGTTCACAGGCATAATCAAAAGCTTAATTAGGGTGTAGGAGTTCATCCTCATCGATTAAATTTGTTAATGCCATTATATAAATGTGTTAAATTGCATGTGCTAAATTACATGGGCAATAAATCCGGATTCACAAGAATTTGTTCTGCTGATATGTTAATTAATTTTCTTTAGGGAATTTTGTATTAGACTATATTTTTTCGCAGTTTTCGCTCAGATGTATTTATGTTTTGTTTCACATATTTAAAGAAGGTATTGCTCGTATGCTGAGTACATAGTGATTATAACCGTATATGTATATCCGAATACGATTTTATCGCTATGCGATGTTATAATTGTTCTGACGGTAACCTTTATAGAGCAATTTGGACTGTGACAGTACTGCTGTGCGAAGTTGTGATGGTAGCTTTAATAAAACATTCTGGACATGACTGTATCGCAGTGCGAAGTTATGATGGTAGCTTTAATAGAAAAAACTAGACATGACTGTACTGCAATGCGAAGTTGTTATGTTAGCCTCGATAGTGCAGTTTGGATATGTCTGTACATTCTGGGCATGACTGTACAACCGTGCGAAGTTGTTATGGTATCCTTATTAGAGCAGTCTGGATTTAACTGTACTATTGTCTGAAGCTATGATTGATGCCTTAATAGAACAGTATGGATATAACTGTACTTGTATTTGAAGCTTTAATAGAACAGTCTGGACAGGACTGTACCGCTGAGCGAAGTTGTCGTGGTAGCCTCATTAGAGCAGTCTGGATATGAATGTATGACTTCTTAATTTGGAAGGGACACGCAACAGTCTTTGCTGTTGCATGAATGGGCAGGACCCTCAGTTTTAGTATTCTTAATAGAGCGGTTTGGACATGACATTACCGCTGTGCGAATTTTTTTGTGATAGTTGTTAAAATTGTGCAATCTGGATACGACTGTACCGACGTGTTGTTGTACAATAGACTACTCTGGACACGACTGTACTTAGTAGCTTCGAACTCTTGGTGTAGCGCCTAGTGTTATATTAAAGACTAATGGATTCCCGCTTGGCGTGTCGTTTTTAGGTGCGTGCCTGTACAGCATGCAAGCCCATGACGGCGCAGTGACGTCACTCACGTACACCGCCTCCTACGTGGTGTCAGCGGGGGCGGACGAGCGGCTCTGCATATGGGACCGGTTCCAAGGCCACATGCTCAATTCCATACACATCGTGAGTAAATTCCCTATCCATTTTTTTCTACCAAGTCGACCATTCATCCATTGTGTCTTCAACCTCACTTCGAAAAGTAGGCAGGTGGGGTGTCGGGGAGTAATCCCATGACTCCCAGGAGGCATTTTGGCGTTGTGGCTTTGAACGTTGGAGTGATGTTTGGAGCTCAGGTGAGCTCAGTCTTCTGTGCATGCTGATTTACGAAGTGCATAATGCTTGGCTAGCAAGCGATAGAAGGCCGCCCTCCCCCTCTCCTATGACAGGCTTATGTCAGGCTTATCAATTAATTCTCTACCTCTGCGCAGAGTCAGTTGGATGTAGTAGATGCCCCCGATCGATTGCGTAACTTTGGTTTTCCACCACAATCGAGGGATATCCTTTTTTGGTGGAGGGTTCTTCATTGGCGGCGTAGGTTTATGGGCCCGTCGACTATGCACGTAGTCTACTGGTATTTTAAGGCGAGGATACTGCTGCTGCTCATAATTTATTCAAATACAATTTCAAAAAGTTTAGTTTTTTAGTAAAAGTTTTTCAATAAGGATAAAAAAGGACGAAAAGTTTTTTGCCGCTGCGGGAATCGGGATCACTTCTTCCGGCCTCGCGCCCGTATGCTTTAACCACTAAGTTAAACGTCTAATTACCACACCGACGAAAATCTCAATCTCATCTACATTGTTTTATCGCATTTTAAGCAATGCTTGGAGCATCCATTGTTATATCCTTTACAGTATACAAGCAATTTAAATATCGTTTTACAACTATAATTAAAACGAGATGTCGCCATTGCTAAAAGAAACTTAATTTTTTATGGTGCAAATTTCTGCACTGAAACATAAAAATTTGTAAAATTTGTAAAATTTGTAAAAAGGGGTGAAAAGTTTTTCGCGGTAAGGTATTTTATCTACATTACTTTATCGCATTTCAAGCAATGCTTGGCACAATATCAAGTTTTATATCCTTTATAGCATACAAACAATTTCAAATATAACAAACCTAACCTTTTTTTCTACAAATTTGAATGTTTCATCATATGTGCAAAGAATAGCGGTAGAATATAAAAAAGTCTTTTGGCACATTAAGGCGCTGTACCCCGCTTAGCGGGGTGCAGCGCGTGAGTTTCGTCGACGCGACGCGTGACCAAGTCATTCATTACCTACTAGTGGTGGGCCGTAGGATACTATCGATAGTATCATGGAAGGCTATCGAAAATGTACACAGATGATCCCTGTAATATCTTTCATAGACCTTGATTGTAAATTTACTTTTATATTATTATGGGAATAATAATAAACAAACGAATATAAAGTATAAGAAAGCAATCAATAATTATAGAAAATCTTCCTATTCATTATTTTAAATTTTCAGGAAACGTTAGAATTGATTAAAAATACATCTTAAGGTCAAATAAATTAAGAAAGGTAAATGACATTTCTTACAACAAAACAATAAATAAACGAAACAATGTATCTTTAATTTTTTCTTTAAATGATAAAGACTTACGACGTTATATAAATTCCTTAACGAAATGATATTTAAAAAATTATGGATAAAATTCCTTATATCGATAAACGACAACAATTATAACTAGAATCTAAATTTTGGCACCAACCACAGACATCGTGTATCCTATTGGTCGGAGCGTAATGGTAGGTGAACAATTACGGCGGTCCCAAGTTCCAACCTTATTGAGTGGTATACCTTTTTCCAATTTTTAATTGGTAATCAATTAATTTGTTTTCTTTTTATTTCATAAAATAGGGAAAATAAATAAATTAATGAAAAAATTATAAGACAATTATTTTTCGTGTTCATAAAAGATTAATAAATATATAATTATAAAGATATAATATAATAATAAACATTCATAAAAAATAAAAAGAGAAGAAGGGTGAAAAATTAAATAATTTAATAAAAAAAAATTTAAACAATATACAATATGACTTGTTAAAAATTTGACTAAATGAAAAGTTAGTTTATTATCTGATAGATTGTTCTCCAACTGTTGCGTTCTATGTTAAAAAACAATAATATTTCTTTGTAATTATTTATGAAAATAAAAAATCAACAAAAATTAAATGGTAAATAAAGAAAATATTTACAAAAAATAAATCACCAAAAAATATAACAAAGAAATGTAGGGATTTGAACCCAATCCCTATAGAATGTTGGTCCACTGTATGTATAGGACTGATAATCCTTATCAATCACAAGATAAGATATTGAAATTACGCTTTAGTTGTTAATACATACAAATAATTAAAAATACGAAATATGTGAATATACATTTTTTAGTTACGTGTTTTTGAAAGATATAATGAAATTATAACTCTCCATAATAAATAAGTACGGAACATGTTTCGTAACGGTGAGCGGAAGACGAGCAGCATAAGTCCATCTACCAACGCACCTCAGCGCTCTCTGTTCAACGTGTGGAATTGGAAGCTATTTCTAAAAGGAAAAAAATCAGTTGTATAATATTTTAATTTTTTTTTAAGAAAAAAACTGAATTCAAAAAAGAGGATAGCTACGGAGTTTCTTTCGCCTGTTTCTTCTCCGCTAGAGGAACCTCATTACGAAACGGGGGTAGATTAAAAAAAAAATATGACTATCGATAGATGAAATGTAAGTTTCTTATGTGTGAGTAAATGATTTAGATTTTAGATTTTTTTTTTTTTTGGAAGAGAACCGAACCAACGCTGCGGTGGCGCGTGTTTTGGTCGTCGCGTTCGAATTAATTTTAATGAATTAAATTAATATTTACAAATATCTTACTTCAATCAACAAATTAAGACAACAATCCTTATTAAAATATTCTACACCACTGATATTAATTTCATTAAGATTTGTTGACGTATTACGTTAATTTTTGGATTTGAATTTCTCTTTTAGAGGTAGTTTCATGATTTTTTTTTCTATCGAGAAAATATATCGAGAATATGTTTTGAAAACAATGCTCCATTAGAATGTAAGATCAAGATTAACATATATTTTTTGCTACTTTAAAATGTATATATTTTGCTAAAAAATCTTTTGATAAACCTATTTTTACTGCATACAGCGCCTTAATATCAATTTTTATGAATTCGCAAGTTGCTATCTCATTTAAAACATCACCAATACGGCACCATTGCTTTCACTAGGCTTATGAACATTTCCAGAACATAACTTAGGAAGGGCTAGTCCAACAAGTGAATTATGCTGCTAATGGTTTTCGTCGCCTGGCCGATGAACGAAACAATTGTCTGTGGGTCACACAAATAATGGAACTGCTTGCGTATCGAACCCATGACCCCCGCCGAGACCAATAGCTTAGCAACTGCGGCACTTACACACGGTTTCTGAAACACCGATCATCATATAAGCTGTCAAATGGCATTTCAAATGTCATTTGAGTTGCCAAAAGGATGGTTAAACTCTCTGTATTGATCAGAATGATTTTTTTTATGTGAAAAGTTGCCAAGCGAGCAGGCGGTTCACCTGATGTTAAGTGAATACCGCCGCCTATGGACATCTGCTACACCCGAGGGTTACAGATGCGTACCTTAATTAAATTGCTTTTTTTTTCGTAATAATTATCTTAAAACACCATATATTTAGCCCATGGATCACCCGAGGATTCCAGATGCGTCGACAACCTTTCGAAAATTGGGCTCCCGCCACCTCACTTACCAGACGAAACGCGAAAGTATTATACTTCCACTTTACGCCGGTCTTCTGTGAGGTCGCGGTACTTACCCGGGCGAGGCTGCCCATTCCTGCAACAGCCGAGGCTGCAGCGTGGCCCTATACGCCGGGCTTCTGTGAGGTCGCGGTACTTACCCGGACGAGGCTGCCCATTCGTGCAACAGCCGAGGCTGCTGCGTGGCCCTACCACCGTGAAATGATCTTCTTAATGATTAGAATGATCATTCAAAGAGTTTAGCAATCCTTTTGGCGATTCAAATAACATTTGAAAATCCATTTGACAGCTGATTAGTTGACTTCTACGATTATAAGTGTTTCAGAAACCGGTCGTCAGTCGGTCAAATTTCATTCTGAGAAATCATCTAATCATATTTTTTGTTCGAAGGGTCTTAACTACATGAGCCGAATGCTTCCTTTGACGCACACTCTGCTAGTTATGGGCGACCGAAGCGGTCTCATCGCTTACGACCTCAGCAGCGGTGACGTCATTCGGAGGGTGCTCCTCGGTAAGCACTATAGATTTTTATGTCTATTTCGAACGTATAATACAAGTGCCCTAGATCGAATTTTGATCGATATTTTAAATTTAGGGAATTATTATTCCGATACCTATTAATTTTTTTTTTTTATTTAAGAATATAGCTAGCGAGGTGGAAGTTCACGCGATGTTAAGTGATATCCGCCGCCCAGGGGCATTTACCACTACCGTAGGGCTACAAATGCTTTGTCAGCTTTCCGTAAAGTAGGCTCCGGTTAACTCACTTACCAGACGAAACGCTGAAGTATATACCTCTACTTTACGCCGGTCTTCTGTGAGGTGGTGGTACTACCCCGGAAGGAACTGGCGATTCGTGCAATAGCGAAGATTGTTGCGTGGCCCTACCAAAGTAAATTTCCAATTGACATTCTTAAATTCTTTAGCGACTATCTTTAATCTGTGCAAGTGTTTAACAACAGTTATTGACATTTTGAACAATAAATGCTATAGATTGCTTCCGAAACTTCTATAATCTTACGATACTTCACTGTTCTACATTTAACTTTTAACATTAAACTTTCAACAATATCTTAGCGTTAGCTAAATTACGTTGTAACTTAAAGAAGTTTTTTAGGCTGCTATGTATTGGTAATAATAGGGTGTATAATTCGCTTCATGGGTGTATAATGTGTGTATGCAACACTGTATACGCGTTCAACGATTCCGCAGTGACGTGTTGTGTTTATTTCGCCGTGTTCTTGTAAACTAAAAATTGGTTGTGCGTCAGCATTATTTACCTACGGTTGGTTTGACGCAGATCAATATTTTATATAACATGTTTAGCTACAACCGGGTTACATATTTGCGTATTATGTGTTCTGTAAACTACTTCTCTGTGTACGTTTTAGTTCGTGACTTGTTACTGAACCTTTCAAAATAAAAAAAAAAATATATATATATAAAAATACTCGACTGCTTCGACCCATGATTCTTCATCAGCTCGCTTAAACTCCAGGTCAGAGCGACGGGTGCATCTTCGTGCGGCAGATACTGCCCCTCAAGGACGCCATAGTGTGCGACTACGCCAACCAGCTGCGCATCGTCCGCTTCCCGCTGGTCTCGAAGCTGTCCAACATGAAGAGCGAGTAACAAGAACGGAAGCTCCATCCTGTCACTTGTCACCTGTCGCGGCGACACCAGCGCCAGCAAACGATGTACTTATCGCTCGCGCACGACTGACCAAAGTCATTGCTTATTTATTGTTTAATTGTTATATATATTACGCCATGTCAACAAGAGAGATTAGGTGATGCGATATATTATATATTACTTGTATGTATATTAGAAATGTGTCTATAGTCAGTAGAAGATTATTGATATACCGTCAGTTGCGAGATTTTTTTGCTAATTAATTGATGAAATATAGGATGAATGGGCAAAACTTCAAAGAATATTTTAATCGGTTTCAGTGGATACCTCGCAAAAGCAAACATCACTGTAGTTATCTTGTTCAAATGTTTTAATATTAAAAAAACAGACACTCTGAGCTAATTGTTTATATTTTAGTAAATGACATTGTTAAAGTTTACAAAAATTATATCAATTATAAAGTGATTTTATATTGAATAGCACATTGCTCTCTGTCTTACTTTACCGATGTTTTAAACGAAAGTTTTTATAACCGTATTTATACTTGTTGTATGTTACAACTGTTCAAAGCATCTTTTGTATATTGCGAGAAGTCACAAATAGTTTTTAAGTATTAATTTAGGGCGTAAGTGGAACAGCCGATATGTATATATTTATTAAATTCCATGTCGTCATAAAATGACCAGTATGTAAAAAATAGCTATTAACGAGTGGCGTCTAAAGGTTCTTAGAGTAGGTTTAATGTTTAATTATGGGAGACAATATTAACGGTCGTAATAATAAGATGTGTTCCTTTAACGTTGAAAGTGTCCTTTATTTTGGCTGTTATTACTTTATATGATATTTATCATCTTTCACAATGTGACCTTCACAATAATACTACCAAATATCATATTCGTAAAGTATTTTAACTATTAAAGGCATCGGTTCTTTAAAATTGTATAAAGAAAATTGTGTCGTATTGTATTTGTATTGTCATCTGTGACAGTTTATAGTTCATAAATTTTCTGTATAAATATCAATTACTCTTTGTTTTCAATTCAATTATCAGGCGGCCACAATTGTTTGATGTTAGATTTTGTAAACATATCGCACTAAAGCTAAATCTCATGTCTAATTGTTGTAATTTGTGGTTGTAAGGTTTATTTAATTTTATTATTACCCGCAAGATTATTTATTGCCTACTAAATGTATTTTTATAAAAGTTGTTAGTTTTTTTTTGTATATGTGTGGAATTTGGCGATACACTCTCACGTCTTGTACCAGAATGATAAAACCATATTGGTTTTTTATTTTGCACGAACCATCTCCGTTTTGATTCTTTAACGTCCGAAAACTATCTGCTGTGGTAAGCTTTGGTAAATTTATTTGGTTTGGAAATAATTTTTCGCGGCGAACGCCCGGACACTAAGCTATCACGGCTCTAGATTTTGTTGTATTTTATATAAATTGTAGAAACCGATGTGGTGAGAAATAAATTTTATTATTATTGGGGGGATATTCATTTGTTTTCTCGTCTGGTTGGGTTTATAAATAAAAATATAGATATATATTGCACATACAAAATAAATATTATGGATAAAAATAAACATACACATATAAATATTGTATATAATACATATATAAATAGGACCCAACCAGACGGAAGCCCTCGGCAGGGGAGACCTAACGGCCGAGGGTTAGGGCGAAAGGGAGAGAAACCGGTGGACGATGCGGGCGGTATCGAGGAGCACCGCCTTCTGCATTTGAGCTTGGAGCGATCCGTCCCGGAGTCCCAGTCGCCTAAGATGTTTGGAGAGGCTGCCTGGGATTAACCCATTGGCTGAAACGACTATCGGGATAATTTCGGTCGGCACACACCCCACATGTCGGTCACCTCGTGAGCCAGGTCCAGATACTTTGTCTTCTTATCTGTTTCGGCATTCACGAGGTTTTCGTAATATGGAATCGTAATTTCGACCAAAAATACCCGCGACTGTGCCCGGTCCATCACCACGATATCAGGTTTGTTCGCGACAATCGTCCTATCCGTGATGATGGGCCGGTCCCAATAGAGCCTGGCGCGGTCATTTTCGAGCACGGCTTCCGGATAGTACTTGTAGTACGGCAGTTTTCGATCCAAGAGGCCGTATTTCAGAGTGAGGTCCTGGTGTAGGATTCTGGCTACTAGGTTGTGTCTATGCAGATAGAGTTAGAAAGCATGGAATAACCGAAGATAAAATGCCGAAGCGACTCCCCGGGATGGCGACAAGCTCGACAGATGTCGACGGTGCCATCCTTTGTTTCGTACAGAAGACGCAGGTATCCCGCATCACCGAGAGTTTGAGTTCATTGATCTACTATCCTAAAATTATTAGAACAATGGCGACATCTCGTTACAATCGTTAATCGTTGACTGTTCTTTATACAGTGTTGTATGCTATACAGAATGCACACTAGATGGTGTCAAGCATTATTATAAATGCAATAGAATAAACATAGATGTCGAGATTTTCGCGGCGTAAGGTTATCATTTTGGCATTCTAAGGGGGAGGGGGGGGGGGGGGGGGTTTAATAGAGAACATCTTGCGGTTGATGATAATGATGCCGCTTAGCTTAGCTGGCAAAGCATCTGGGCGCGAAACCATAGGACAGGTTCGAATCCTGCAGCGAATTTTTTTTAGTTTTCTTTTTCACTGTAATTAAAATATTACAAATATTTTTTTCGAATCGGGTACCAAAAACACGCCGACAGTTGCCGAACAAATCGGAGTGCGTGTGACGTCACAACGTTAAAATCTAGTGTCCGACCGAAACCGAACCCGAATTTCGGCAACAGTCTGAGTTTCGGCCGAAACCGAAACTGAAACTTCTATAAAGGGATCTTGTTTTGAGGGAAAAATAAATATCTTTATATCATATAGTTACGCAGTGTTCAGTATTTTATTAATTAGTCAGGTGTCAGACGTTTAGACTCGAACGTCGCAGCGTCAAATAAATCTGTTCATTCATCCAAATTTACAGCATCACATTGACGAACATGAATCAACGTTGACGAAAAAACCTTCAACGACCCATCACTAGTATTCGCTTGCTTGCATGGATGGAATTTAACGCGCTGATCATCAATATATAACGCGCTGATAACCAATTATAGCGCGAGAGCTTCCGATTTAGGTTCGGTTTCGGTCGTAGTTTTCGGCAGGTTTGGCGCCGAAACCAAAACTAGGTTTTTTGCCGAAACAACCGAAACCGAACATTCGGTCTGACACTATTAAAATCTAATCATCATTGTAGGTATGCAGTTTTTACTTACAACGCATTATCTATTATATCGCCGAGTATTTATACAAACTAATACTACTCTTTGACATCTAATCTTTTGAAAGACAAACGTAGTAGAACTAGTAAGCAATAAGTACACAGCACATAAAAGGAACACCCAATTATCTCCTTCATTTTATTTTTTTACGGATAAGAGTATTTTTACAGTTGAAATCATCAGTCTATGGCGATATCAAAAGGTACGCAATAAATTTAGCGATAAAGTTAATTTTCATTTAAAGAAGTAAACAGAGGTCCGTATGTACCGGCTACCGGCCAAAGCTTTGCACGCAACATCGTTTTTGGGACATAAATCAATGGGATTACTTTTAACTGATGACTGTAGTAATACCCTTAAACGACATTGATGGAAGGTAATGAATATGGAGAACCCCAACCAGCAAAACAGTCCTATAACTAAAGTTTAAACCTCAAAAGCTTTATGTACCTTGTTGTTGAAACTTTTGGTCCGTGTGGTCCTCGTATATACAGTTTTTATTAAAAGTTTAAGTCCTAGACTGACAGCCGCGACTGGTGACAACAAAGCCGGTTCTTTTCTCGCTCAAAGGTTAAGCAGAACTATTCAGAGGAAAGGCTGCTAGCGTTTTTGTCACCTTACCGCATGGTGAGGTACGAGGTTTATTAGATAATATGTAATTTAGTTATATATAAAATCCCGGTTTCTGAACCGCTGATCATCTTAGAAGTTAACAAATTAGCTGTCGTAAAGGTTTTTTAAATTTTATTGGAGTTGCCAAAATGACGGTTAAACTCGGTTGATCAGAACGGACGGTTGATCAGAATGATCAATTCAAATAGTTTAACAATCTTTTTGACAACATAAATGACATTTGAAAAGCCATTAGACAGCTGACTAGTTAAAAAATAAAATTATGTACGGAATGAAAAAAAAAATACCTGGCAACACTGGTCGTTAGCTGCAAGAAATCGAGATGTCACGCAATGTCACGTCATCACTCGCAATATTCTGCACATATATATGCCGTCATATGTCTATAAAACTTCATACATAGTTCAGACAGACAGTCTGCGGTTCATAATTATTTTTCCAGAGGTGAAGTTGGTATTAGTTATTCCAACTATTAGTGAACATAATCTTAGTAATTTAACTTAAAATACTTAAAATGACGGAGTGAGTATGACTTTATTTTTTAAATGGAATTAATTTTGAAAGAACCATTACTTTAAGAATTTCATGATTTCATGAAGTGTACAGTCATTCCGACCGAACATGACTTTGTAATTTATCACAAAGTTATTACACACACATTTTTCATACTCACATCACGTACCCTTTGCCAGTATCTCAGTGATTTAATACGAGTTAAAACGACTTTCTCATCAAAGATTGTTTAACAGAATACAAAAAATATTTTGTATTAAAATCAATGTTTAATAATTTTTTAAAAAGTTTATAAATTTCTTAGTTCATGTCTCAAAACTGATACAGTACTATTGATATAAGAAAATATGAAGAAGTAAAATGATTTTATTTAATTCTATTGATCTCGAAATGCTTTACGTTGTCAAATTTATCTTAATTAGTTTTTTATTGCTTAAAGTAAAAAAATGAGGTAAGGAAAGACGAATTAAAAATGAATTAACAATGAATTTCATTTTAGCCACTTATTGTGATGTGTTAAACACTTCAAAAATTTTGTTGCTTGTATTAATATTAAATATCTCTAATGCAAATGAAATAAATATGACCATAAAATATATACATCGAAATATATCTCTTTTGCATGTACTTAATGTAATATGTAAGTTATGTATGTAAGCTTAAAAATTTGATCAAGGTTATTTGAAGGTGATCTGAACTTAGCATTAAATAGGACAAACTACTTCTATAGTGATTTATTTTCTAATGTAACTGTTCTATCAGTATGAACCATAAAATTTCTTATTTAAGTATCTCAATATTATCACTGGAATGAATATGATATGTCTAACTAGATATAGCTAATGGTAGTTTAATTAATTATAATAGATTTATCATAACAATTGATGTGAAATAAACAATTTTTTATAAAAAAAAGTTACAGGATGTCGAATTCTAAAACAAAGTTTAATAATTTCTTTATAGACCAAAGGCAGATATTGCTCTCATTGGCTTGGCTGTTATGGGTCAAAATCTCATTCTCAATATGGATTCCAAAGGCTTTGTAGTATGTGCATATAACAGAACAGTGGAAAAGGTGTGTTCTTAAGATAATACTATCCATTTTTAATCCATTAAAGTTTTTGATTATTTTGTCAAAGTGAGAATGTTGAATTTGAGTTACTTTTATTTTATAAGAGTAAATTTTAACTGAAACAAATTTGAAACAAGGAAAATAATGAATTCTTAGAACTTCATTCTTAGAACATTTGAAGTTGCTTTTACTTTTGAAGGAGGAAATATTAAGGTTGCTTTTACAGGTAGATCATTTTCTTGCAAATGAGGCCAAGGGGACCAAAATAATTGGAGCAAAATCACTAGAAGACATGGTGCAAAAATTAAAAAAGCCAAGAAAAGTAATGTTATTAGTTAAGGGTAAGAGCTTCAATCAGTTATAGTTTAAAAATGATTTATTTTCCATACATTTCCTAATTAATTCTTTATACTGCAGCAAACAATAATGCCAAGCATTTAAAATAATATGCGTTTGTTTAGTTAGCTATATTATTTTGGTTATTGTTTGTTTTTGACCATTTTTTATTTTATTTGAGAAAATTCAATTCATGCATATATTAGTATTATATATATATATATCTACCATAGATGTTGGAAATAGTAACAATGCTTCCAATTAAGTAATTAATTAATTGTTGAAAATGTTGTGTAATGTTTTTAGTCTTAATTGTCAGGGGACTAAACAATTCTTTTTTCATAATAGTTTTTCTTTAATTTCTTACTCAATTCACATAACATTACTTAAATCACCCTGATATATAAGAACAACAAACTTTTTAGCGGGTTCGGCAGTGGATGCATTTGTTAATAAATTGGTGCCATTGCTGGACAAAGGTGATATTATAATTGATGGTGGTAATTCCCAGTACACCGACACACAACGTTGGTGTAAAGAGTTGTCCCCTACTGGAATTTTGTACATTGGAATGGGAGTAAGTATTTGTTTTTTATTGTTTTCCAATTTATATTTTGTCCCCTTTTTGGTTTTATATTTGATGTTCATTATAGGTGAGTGGTGGTGAAGATGGGGCACGTTATGGACCATCTCTTATGCCGGGTGGTCATCCTGAGGCATGGCCTGCTGTTAAGCCAATATTCCAAGTAAGTGAACATTATTGAATATACTCATTTGAATAGTAAAAATTTACTTAAGAGATATGTTGTCAACCTTAGAATGTTATCCAGGGAAAATTTTTATATTATTTTGGTAGGTCGGTTAGTTCATTCAGTTTTAACTTAGTTTTAATGAAGATAGACGAATATTCTTTTTAATAACTAAACAGTGAAAATCTTACAAAATTTGAATGATTGATTAATTTTTACATTTTAATTATTCATAACACTAGCGCTTTTCTTCTATTCTTTCAAAATATAGGTATAAATAAATTAATAGGAATATGTTATAATGCATGTACATATGTAGCAATATGTCCTTAACATTTGTCCTTTCTTCCACAAATTATAAAGCTTCATGTTTAGCGCAGTGATTGGCACTATAAAAATAACAAATAAATAACTAATTTAGAAATATGTCCTGGTAATTTATGTTCTTTTGGTATTCCTCAATGTATCATATATTAAATTAAAAATTTTAATGAATGAATATTGACTAAAAAGAAAATTGAACATGGCACATCTATAATCTTACCTTATCATATATGGGTTATTTAGATAAGATAATATGTCATCATTGTCCTGATTGATTGATTTTTAGGTAGAATGTAATCAATATAATATAAACATATAATTTGAAAGTCATTAGACAGATTGACTATTGTTAAATACACAAATTTGTTAAGCTAATTTTTTTCTAAATAAATATTAAATTTATATATTTTTTAATAATAAATATTAAATATCCCCAAATTATGTGTCAAATTTCATATGGTATAAGTAAAAAGTTATTTAAATAAAAAATTTCAGGCTATATGTGCCAAAGCGAATGACGAACCATGCTGTGATTGGGTTGGTGAAGGTGGGGCTGGCCATTTTGTCAAAATGGTTCATAATGGCATTGAATATGGTGATATGCAGCTCATCAGTGAAGCTTATCACTTAATGAAGGATGTCCTTAGTGAGTACCTATCTTGTTTGCCTTTCCCAAATATAAAATATCATCTTTGTTAATACCAAAATCTAATTAATATTCTACTTTTACAGACCTAGAACAAAGCGAAATTGCCAAAGTGTTTACTGAGTGGAACAAAGGGGAGTTGGATTCATTCTTGATTGAAATAACTTCGGATATTTTAAAATTCAAAGACTCTGATAGTGAGTATACATGTTTTATAAGGCTAGTTAAATTAGATATAATTTAGCAATTATGTTGAAGGAATGATTTTCAGAGTTTTTTATATTAAAATAAGATAAACAATATGAACTATATTTGTGATTGACATTTATTTTTAGATCAGTATTTGTTACCCAAGATTCGCGATGCTGCGGGACAAAAGGGTACAGGCAAGTGGACTGTGATCAGTTCACTAGAATATGGAGTTCCTGTAACACTAATTGGAGAGGCTGTTTTTGCTCGTTGTCTTTCTTCATTGAAAGGTGAGGAAATACTCTGCTTCATGTGGTTTCAGGTGCATTATAGTTGTGTTTACTATTCTTTGTTTATCCTATGAGGTATGTAAAATGAGCTTCTAATTCGCAGATGAACGTGTAAGAGCAAGTAAGATTCTTTCAAAGTCAGCAATTAATTTTGATGGCAATAAGACTGAATTTATTGAAAATCTCCGCAAAGCTCTATATGCTAGCAAGGTCATCTCCTATGCACAAGGATTTATGCTGCTAAGAGAGGCTGCTGAGGTATGTGTACCTATATATTGTTCATTTCATTCAAAATATTGATTAAAATTTAACTAAATTAAATTAATTACTTAAAAACACTTCATTATTATATTCTTTGAAATTTGATATATTTGCATAATAATGTCTTTATTTCCAACTGTTATTGGAGGTATTTTCTATTTTAGGTTAATAACTGGCATTTGAACTATGGCAGTATTGCTCTCATGTGGCGTGGTGGCTGCATCATTAGGAGTGCCTTTTTGGGCAACATCAAGGTATGATGTTAAACGTGAATGAATAGTTTCACAGGAAACAGAAATTTTCCTTGTGTATATTAGATTAAATCTGTCACATGACTGAATAATAAGGAAAAATAACCTTGTTATACTGACCTATCTGACTCGGTGGCACAGTTGCTAAGCTAATGGCTTCAGCACCGTGGGTCGTGGGCTTGATTTTCACATGGGGCAAGTATTTATGTTACCTGCAGATATTTTTTCCGGATTTGGGTGTACTTTCCGAAGGAGGGTTGACGTTATGCAGGCGGCCGTCATGAAAAATCTAGCCAAAACTATGTACCACATAATTCACATTTTGTGCCGCCCCCACCTAGGTGGTATAAGGGCAGTATGATGATGATGAATCCTGTTATACAAACGTAAAATGTACAAATTGTTGTATATGCTTTTTTTATGTATATCTGAATGAAGATTTATGCAAATTGTAGATTAGGTTGAATGCCGTTTTAATCTTGTCAAAATATGTATAATATCATTTCCTTAAATATTAACATGTTTTAAAAATGTATAATCTCAATTATTTTAATCATTGGGCTTTTTCTTCTTTTTAGATAAACGTGTTTACTACATAAACATGTATGAATATTAACTGATTTTGTTTTCTTTTTGTGCTGTGTGTAACCTATTACTAACATTAATACCTGGAGGACCGACTTTTTCCCAGTTTTTTTTTTGTTGATAAATCGTGTATTTTGGAAATAAAAAAATAAAGAAAGCAATGATCTGGTATACAAAAAAAAAGTTTAAAAAAAATAAGTGTGTAAAGATCTTGACACTTCCGCGGACTTCTGTGTTGGGGCCGCCCGATTACCGACCAAGCTATTATAACATTTTTTTCGGCGAAATTTACCGTCATATTCGAATGATATTTTTCATTCCCTGAAAATAGGGATAAAATGACATTTTCTAAAAATGAAACCTAGCTCCATTTTTCGCCCCCGAATCTGAAGAACTGCTTGTTTAAAGGTATTAGATATAAAAACAACATTTATTTTCACAGGAAGCATTCACGAAAAATCCGGCACTGAGCAACTTATTGTTAGACCCATATTTCTCCAAGCAAGTGTCTGCTTCTCAAATGTCTTTGCGGCATGTCGTGGCTCAGGCTGCGTTGTCTGGTGTACCTGCACCAACATTCTCTGCTGCGTTGGCCTTCTATGACGGCTATCGCTCTGAAGTATTGCCTGCTAATTTACTTCAGGTATGTATCAAGTATATTACATTTCCTATAGTATAGTGCCTGGTTTGATTATTTTAAGAGGATATTGTTTAATGGTACAAAATAAGAATAGCGAAAATGAGAACACATAGTATTACTAAAGCAGAACCAATAGTTTTAACAGATGACTCATATTACATAATATACACATGATGAGCACAAATGCAGTCCTAACTTATGCGGAGGGCCTTTTCTAGCTCATGGGATCTGGCATTCCAGGGCTAGAACATTAAAAAAATATTAAAGCACATTTGAACAATACCATATTTTAAAGAGTAATATTTTTAAAATTACTTAGGCTCAACGTGACTACTTCGGGGCTCATACATACGAGCTACTTACAAAACCTGGTGAATATGTGCACACCAACTGGACCGGCCATGGAGGAAATGTCTCAGCATCCACATATACTAACTAAAATCATAATCCTATGTTAAAAATTTGATGCCTATTAGTGTGATGTACTTTTATAAAACTTTAGACTTTAAAGGGATATATTTGAGCCTTGATTTGAGAATTATATTTGTTGTGGGAGATGTTGTAGCCTAATGTTATGGGGATTTTCAATGTTTACTCTGGTTCTTTGCGGTTTTATATTTCAGAAATCTTTTACTGTTACATTCCTTGTAGCAATATTATTAAATAAGATTAATGCATTTTAAAAATATTTTAATCTTTTATTATTAGAATGAAAATAAATAAGGAACTGTTTTCACTGCAAAATGGGTTCTGGTATATATTTCTACTACCGTTTTTTAAAACTTTTTTCTTATTTTTGGATATTTATTTGCATAAGTAATAATTAAGGATATCTCATGCATAAGAGGTAAATAATATTTACATTCCTGTATCTATTGATGTTTTCGGTTTAGGTGATGTTATGATAATGTTATGCAGAGCCAAAATTGTTAAAAAAATAAAGATGTAATGTTTCATAGATACATACACCATTAAATAATAAAAATATTTTGGATGTTTTTACAATAAATAATCATTTATATTTTAAACATGGATTTTATTTTACCCTCTTAGAGTATTTCATATTCATGTGTTAAGGTGTTTTGAAAATAATTTACTGAAGAAAAACTGAATGATTTAGGAAGTTTGTTAGGTATTTCACAAATTCTTCTCATAAAAAGAGAACTCGTGAACTCGCCATCCCAAAACAAACATATGAATGATAAGAATCCTTATTTCTAAAGAAAAAATATCGAAATTTATATTTAAAATTACATAAATGCGTTTACCTATTAATTTGTATTATTTTATAAAATAAAAATTTATGATTCTTACGATAGGATGTTTACGAACATTTCTTTAAAAAGATTACCATAGGCCCATAGATGAAAACACCCCAGTTGGGACGTCTCATCTTTAGTTCATGTTAGGCAGGGCGGCGATTAAGACGCAGAGTCAAAAATTTTACAACAATAAAAATGCCGTCGTGTCTGTAAGCCGTTGCCTCTCGTCTAGCTGATGTTTACAAGAAGGGCTGTAAATAATAAACTATACTAGCTGTAAATAATAAAATATAACTAACTGTATCAATAAAGTAACACTGACTTGACTTTAATTTTAGGATGTATTTTATAAAATATATTGTAAAATTAAATCAAAAGTAACAATATTGCATGTAATGCTCTCCTTACTAACTAACGAGTAAGTAAGACAACAGACGGGCGAAGAAAAATAAGTGAGAGTTAACAAGATACCAGCATATCTGCAAGACTTATTATTTTCTTAATGGCTAGCTGTGCCCGCGACTTCATCTGCGTGGAACTATACTATATATATAACGATATATACTCCTTATAGTATCAGCTATCTGCTAGTGAGTCTCTGTGAAAATTGGTCCATAGATGTCATTGCTTATATTGTTATAGCTTGGGTGCGATCAACTCATTCCCAGGGGTTATTGTCTTTAATGTGTTCACTTATATTATAATAACTCTTTTTATAAACTTTTTCTTAAACCTGTTAATAGGCGGGCTTTGCGTATTTACTGGGATTTTGTGGTAAAAGCGTATCCTCGCTATAAATTTTATCAAAATCAAAAATATATTTATTCAAATATACGCTTGCGTGCTCTTAATGAATCGTCAAATTTTACATAAAAAATATAGGTAGTATATAGGTTCGTAAGGTACCACCGGTTCGGAAAGCAGTTTCTGTTGAGAAGAGATCGGCAAGAAACTCAACAGTTGCTCTTTTTCAAAAGTATCAATTTACAATATAATATAAGTACAGGTATAATAGTCTCATTGTAGCCTACGTGAGTATCAACAGTATTAACTCCACACATTGGCGTCGTCGAGATATTCCGCAATGGTATAATATGCTTTAACCATAAGTTGACTTTTAATTTTACGTTTAAATTGGTCAAGCGGCAGACTTAATATCGACTGTGGGATTTTATTACACACTTTGCCCACTTTGCAAATTTACAATGGCGTAATAAGTTTGTCCTTATTTCTAGTGTTTATTTTATGTCTGTCACTATTACTATTTTATTATATAATCTTTTTTAAAGCCCACAGTTTTCTTTTTTTGGGAGGATCTACCACTGTTGGCGTTAGGGGCTTTTAAAAGCTCTTAGGCGGATGCTCCATGGAGTAATAAAGCTTAAGGGCTCCCGAGAGGGGATCTCGGCTTGGGCTGTCACTCAAGAGGGCCGCACCTTGGCTCGATCGGTAGCTATAGTCTCACTGACACACACGGGCCCCTCTGATGACACGAAATTGCAATCAACGGTTCTGCAAGTAGTCTCGGATGGTTTAAATGAGTAACTAGTAAAGCGGAACAAGTTTTTAACGCCGCTCAGTATGCGCTCACATGCGTCATCTATTATATTATTAAACATCATTGATAGATACACTTTGAAAGTGCATATTTCCATGAAAACGATTGAATAAACTCCTTGGAATTTGTTTATGACTTTGATGAATGACTACGCAATGTTGTCAAAATTGTGAAAGACTTGCAACCTTAAAATGTCTGTAAATAAATAAAAACGTCTTATAATAATAAATTTTAAATTTCTATGTGAAAGCACAACATTAACAAACATTCTAAAGGAAAAATGGTATATGGCCTAATTTTTGCTGCTTTTATGATTGCATTTTGGCTTCCATGCGTTAAACAGGGATTATGGGCTAAACCGGCCCCAGTATACGCCAAGGACCGCAAAAATCGAGTTTTTCAAATTACACCAACAGGGGCATGTTGTGATAATCTATAGTGGTAGAAGGTCAGTGCTTTATCAATGGTTATCCGTATTTTTATGTTTGAATATAATGTTCATTGTTTCTTAAAACTTATCCGTTATTTATTTCCATCTGTCCTTATTAAAGGTACCTATTATTATAATTTTTTATTTATTGCTCTTATTGCTCACAAAGACAACCAGTTGAAGCGGTACCTATATAATAATTATTATATAATAGGATTTTACGTCAACACTTTTAAAAAGAGACAGCTATATAATAGAAAGAGAGAATATTCGTTGACGTAAGACATTCATTTCAATATTATTGATTAAATAGTGATTAGCTATTTTTTCTTGAACGAACCTTACAGAAACCTAAGGCTGTTTAACAAGAGATTAAAAAACTGATCATTTTAAGATATTGTTATGTGATTGTGATTGACCTTTCGGAAACTGGGAATTGATTTAATACCATTCGAGCAGGAAAACTTAAAAATAGACCACATAAATTATTTACGCAATAATGATACATCCTTTATTTAAAAAAAAAAATCTTAAGAGAAAGAACGGAACTCATGAATATTTTTTTTTATGTGAAAGTTTTCAAGCGAGCAGACGGTTCACTTGATATTAAGTGAATACCGCCGCCCATGGACATCTACTATATACCATAGGGTTCCAGATGCGTTGACAACCTTTTGAAAATTGAACTCCGGCCACCTCACTCACCAGATGAAACGCGAAAGTATTGTACTTCCACTTTAAGCCGGTTTTCTTTTATAATGAAGAGATGCCCTTGACATTCACTCATAATATAAAACACACGGACAAAACTCTTATTTATGTCATTTCATTGTTTATCCGAACAAGTTCTTCTAAAAAGTAATGGGGATTTATAATGCTAGGGTGTATAATGCCTTGGTTGGGAAATGTAATAGCGTTTTCTAACGTATTTTACTCTAAAGTGACTTATGGACTATCGGTCCCCAGTAAAATTTTTTGGATGTTGAAACCTGCGATCAGTCAATACAATATATGATTGATCGCAGGTCAACTATAATCAGAGTAAAAACTATTAAATTAGACTAAACAGCCATAAGCATAAAAATATATAATACATATAATTAACATAAATAAATACATAAGAGAATATTTAAATCCGAATATCGAGAATGAAACTATCGATTACAGAGGGATAGATAATGATTTTTTACGTCAAATTTTTTACGTTTATACTTGCCTTTGCACGACGAATTTGCTGAGGAAGTACATCCCACAAGCAGATGGCCTTGATTGTAAAGTAGTTCTAGTAATATTTAGTTTTATATGTGTGTGGTACTAGAATTAGTTATCCAGCGGATTGGAGAACTTTTTCTGGTCGGTTATGGCCAGAAAACTCAGAGTTGTAAGAAGTTGGTTGCAGTTTGGCGAGGTAGAGCCACTGCTCCATCTCCCTATAGTATAAGCGAGATATATGTTATGGGGGGATATTCATTTGTTTTCTCGTCTGGTTGGGTTTATAGATAAAAAATAAACATTAAGATATATATTGCATATATAAAATAAATATTATGAATAAAAATACACATATACAGCGTGTCGTTACCATCGCGACAATAAATGAACACACGTCTAACGCTACTTGCCAATAATCATAAAAAAATATTAACGTTAAAAAAATCCATAATTCAAAAAAAATATTTTTCAAACAAACTAATTAAGTAAATAAGAAACAAAATTTGTAACAGCCTGTACAACTACAACTGACTGATTCATACATTCCGAGACTTTTCATTCGTTGCCACAGCGTCGTATTGCAAGCCTCTCCTTCTAACAGTATGTTTTGTCTCTTTTAAATTCATTCAACCCATTCATATGCTTTGTGACCTTTACAAATGAACTTTACGTTACAGTTTTAAACGTAAGGCTGTTCTATAATTCTTTGTTTTGGAAAATGTAATAACTCTGAAATATTGATGTTTAAAGAATGTAAATGTTTAATACAATTTAAAAAAGTTATCCTCTATATGTGTGTTCATTTATTGTCGCGATTGTAAAGTCACGCTGTAGATATAAATATTGTATATAATACATATATAAATAGGACCAGACCCAACCAGACGGAAAACCTCGGCAGGGGAGACCAAACGGCTGAGGGTTAGGGTGAAAGGGACAGAAACCGGCGCACGATGCGGGCTGTATCGAGGAGC